TTTAATATTAATACTGTTTTAACACATGTGTATACACATTTATCATGCATACTTTCATATTCATTGGATACTTTCCTACACATGTACAACACTTATAACTATTTCGATAATATACATTCATATTGTCCGTCCAACTAAATACAATAAAATACAATAAAACTGCATACCTCGTGCAAATTCCACACATACACTTGTTTTATCCTGCAAACATTTTTACTTACCGCTGTATTATTCTAAATTACTCTAATTGTTTCACGTAAATATTCCTCTATTTATTTATTTTAATATTAAACTATAACTTATTTCACTAATTATTCAATTTCATCTGCATTGCAAGGTCACATTTTGCTTTTAATGTAACTCTTCGAATTATTTATTCATATATTACTGTTTTATTTCGCCTCTTTTAAATCACAACACGTAACTTTTTAGGTACTATTGTATTTTATTTTATTTTATATGGTTTAAATTTCCATTTATTTTAATATTAACATTTGTATCTCACACAAGGCTCTGAAGATGGTGTTTACACCGAAACACCGTTGTTAGTCAGCCAAACTATGTCACTAGTTCTCAATAAATATGATTTACAACAATTCCATATTGTTGAGTGTACTTTTAAAAAGTTAATTAACGCGAAGTGGGCAAAAATATTCAATGAAATCTGCATAGCTGATAACCTCGTCCCAATATATATATATATATATATAATATATATATATATATAATATATATAGTAACATATAGATACATGTATATAAATATATAACATAGCATCTTCATAAATATTAAATAAATAAAAAGCTTGTTTGAGTCCCTCATCGTTGTTCATTTTGTACTCGTTGTTCTGGCCGATGTTATTTCAATTATTAAATTAGAAATTTATTAAGTTCTTTTCTTATAATTTTTTTGATTATAATTATGCTTATTTGGCCAGCAGGCCTTAAGTGGTCAAGGGGTGCCAAGAATCCCTGGGAAGTATGCAATAGCGGAGGGATGTTGCAGAAAAATTCAAAATGGCCCCTCTATGCTACTTAAACTTGGAACGCTCAATGTTGGATCACTGACTGGCCGCAGCACGGAAATGACAGTGTACAAAATGCAATAGCTGAAAAGAAAGTTGCATACAAGCAATGGGACAAATCAAAGTCTGTTGATGACCATAAAATTTTCCGTGAGAAGAACAACTATGCATGACGTCAAGTTGCACTGGCTTGGACAGATCAATGCAAAGAGTGGCTCACTAAAAGCAAAGGTGAACAAATGAAATCTCTGTATTGTATAGCAAAACAAGCAAAACGTACGAAAAAAGACATAGTTGGTGCCTCATATATTAAAAATGACAAAAATGTGATGGTTCTTGAACAAGATGAGATCAAGCTACAGGGGAGAGAATACTTCAACCGTCTGTTAAACGAAACAAATCCCATCAATGTTAACTTTGACGCTCCACCCATCGAAGGTCCGATTCCAGACATCACTGTGGAGGAGCTTACAGAAGCTCCAGATTTCCACATACAGCGTTCACTAGGGTGTCCTGAAAAGAGCCTTTTCCAAGTCTACAAAGACATGGAACAGACGCTTTTGCATTGCATTGCCATGTATTTTTTCTGTAGTTGACGAATGATATAGATAGCATCAATGATGGATCTCCATGCCATGAAGCCGTACTGGTAACCACCTATTGAAACGCGCGACAACAGTCTTCTCTCAATGACTTTTTCAATAACTTTTAGGGGGTGTTCCAGAAGTGCATCAAAGTCCACCCCAATAGGGTTTGTTTCATTCAATAACCGATCGAAGTAATCCTTCCAGTGATCCTTCACTTCATTCTGCAAGGTTATTATTATGATTTTATTATTCTTTATGCATGTGTGCATATCTTTTTTTAGTGTTTTGGCCTGATTTGCTATTTGGTAGAGTGACCGAATTTGTTTTCATTTATTTCCAGACTACCATACCTTGCATTGATTTTCACGAGCTATCGCAACCTGATATTACGCTTCTGGGTTCTTTTATCGGTATGTCTTTTGATCTTCACCAGTCTTCATTTTCTGCCGTTGTTTGAAAGCTGCTTTTTTACTGGCAATACATTTTGCACAGTCTCGTTTCACCACTAAGTTTCGCAGTTGTCCTGGCGTTTTGGTCCAGATTTCCACATACAACTGTTGCAGCGTTCACTAGGGTGTCCTGAAAAGATTTCCAGGTTATGTCTACCTTCTCCAGACGATCCAGCTGTGCCGATACCAACTCCTCGAATTTCTTCCTGAACGCGGGGTTCTCCAGTTTCTATGTCTTTATTCTAGTAGGCATTCAATCAGTCACAGGGCGTGGTCGTTCCATGATCATATCGGCCACCAGCACTCGGTGTTGAGGGATGCATGCTTCGCCTGGAATGATTTTGGTATACCTGAATAGTCGTCTGTGTTGTCGTCTGACGACAATAAAGTCAGTTTGTGGGCATGACATCCCGCTTTTATATGTAATCAAATGTTCTGCCCTCTTCTTGAAGTAGGTGTTCAACAGAGAGAGTTCATGGCTTTCAGCAAATTCCAGAACCCGTACACTATCTTCGTTTGAGACCCGTAGCCAAAGCCTCCATGGACATCGTGGAACCCATTTGCTTTCTTTCCAACATAGCCGTTGAGGTCGCCACATATCGATAGTATCTCTGATGATGATGTTTTCCTGACGTCATCTGAGAGTGTGTTCCAGAAGTCATTTTTGGCGCCTTCAGATTCACCGATCTGTGGTGCATATGCAGAGAAAACAGTCAGAACCTGTTTTCACATTCTGAGTTTAATCAGCATTAGGCGTGAGCTGATTCGAGTCGCCTCCAATACATTTTGTGCTAGTGATTCTCATACGAAGATTCCCACTCAATTTTGGACTGTCTTTTGGTTATTCCAGAACAAATTGTAACTCTCAATGAGAGACACCATTTGATTTCTATCTTGTTTCCTGCAGAGAACAGATGTCGACCCTGCGCCTTTCTAGCATGTCGACGATCTCCATGGAGCTTCCAGTAAGCGATCCAGTTTTTAAAGTGCCAAGTCTGATATTCCAGTAGGGGGACTCCCGATTTTCTGCAACATACCTCCTCTGTTGCGTACTTTCTGGATATTGTCACCTCTTGACCATTTAAGGTTTTCCAGTGAATAGGGAATCTTTCCTTTTTTTGTGATGACATGGAAGATGTTTTGGTCAAAAAATTTTTATATCTGGAATTGCCCAATTCCTAACGACAACTACCAGTTATAAGCAGTGGGCCTAGCCTTTTTGCTGGAAGCACACAAGGCAGTGCGGTTGCAGTTTATCTCGTGCCCGTGCTGTTGTAAGCAGAGCACTTAGCCTTTGGGTCAAAGGTCCCTGTCCCACAAGGCAGTGGATTTAGAATAGAAGATCATCAGCTGTTAAAGCCGTTGTTCTAGGATCCTCCTACTCGTTCACCGTTGTATTCTTTCTTCTGCTACAGTTGGTTCGCGTCATATTATTTCATATTATTCGATGAAATCCCAGAAGGTCTCCCTGCCCAGGACTTTCCACTATCTACCAATTGGGGACGATCCTTATAGCCGGTGCGCCCCAGCATGAAGGATCTCCTTCCAACATATATATATATATATATATATATATATTTATATATATATATATATATTTATATATATATATCTTTTATTGTTTTATATATATATATATATGTACGGTTGAAGATTACACCCCATTTTGCAGTTAGAAGTTTTTTAAATAAAATTTCAACAACACGAAGCGGTTTTGTTTCAACTTTATTAAACTGTGAAGTTTAATAAAGTTAATGCCATCGTCGGAGCCTAGATTGTAAAACCAAATGAGGAGTTAATAATATAAATTATAAGAAATAGAAAATAGAATATTAGATATTAAAATGAATAAATAAATGAATAACAGCCTATATTTTAAAATTAACTCATTATATTGTTGAAAATAAAATAAACGAATAAATTTAAAAGAAAAATTATGAATAAAATTGTTTGTGTATTATCGTAGTTGAAGTGTAGAAAGTTAGCATAGTGACAAGAAGTAATGCAGAAATTATGGGAAGTCGATAATAATATTTAATGATATGACAATTTATAGAAGAATTATTAGATATTTAACAATTGGATATAATATTATTTAGCAATAAATATGTATAAAGAAATATTAAGGCGTGGCAAATAATGAAGTTAGTGAACAAATTGTTTGAGTTTTATGGCGTAAAGAGACAAACGGATTGTTGTTAATGGTGCGTTCTTGTGTGTTATATTCGTATTTATATTTGGTGTGTAGTTGCTGTCTATTGATGACAGCAATATAACACACAATACGCTTCATGTTGTTGAAATTTTATTTAAAAAACTTCTAACTGCAAAATGGGGTGTAATCTTCAACCGTACATGTTTATCTGAGAACCTCATACCAAATTATATATATATATATTTATATATATATATATATATACATATTGTTTTAAGACTGCCAGAAATGCAATTATTGATGAAAGCCACAGCATGTTCGGCGTTAGTTAACTTTCTGTTTAACTTTTCGATTCTTCTAACAGTTGATCGTAAATCATTCTCATGTTTCTTGAGTTCAAAACCAAAATCTCATTGAGAGAAGATTAACGTCGTGCATCACAATCGGAAATTATCAATTTAGTTTCCTAGCGAGTTAATCAACAATTCATGCAATTCACATCCTTCGGCAACTGCAAGAGAAGTACCTCGCAAAGCATCAACAACTATCACACATTTTTGTAGACCTTGAAAAAGCATTTGATCGAGTTCCCCGTGAAGCAATCAGGTGGAGTCTACGTCGACAACTCATTCCAGAATATCTTGTTCGACTTGTGATGGAAATGTATACGAATACTAAGACTCTTGTCAGCACAACGGTTGGAAACACAGAAGTATTTGACATCGGCGTTGGAGTTCACCAAGGCTCGATTCTCAGTCCACTGTTATTTATAACTGTGATGGAAGAAATCACAAAACCGATACGCACTGGTGACATTTGGAATCTAATATATGCTGATGGTATCGTTTTAACAGTCGCGTCTGAGCAGAATGCAGCACAGATGTTTGAAGATTGGAACACCAGACTCGCCGATCATGAATTCAAAGTCAACATCAGCAAAACCAAAGCAATGAACACTGGTGAACCCATCCAATCCACAGCTACTGGACGATGGCCCTGTTCAGTTTGTAAAGCTTGTGTAGGCAACAATTCAATCAAGTGTCTGCAGTGTAACCAGTGGTGTCACAAACGTTGTTCAAAAATTATTGGTACTTTATCTAAAGTGTTCAATTTTGTTTGTCCTGCTTGCATCAATCCACAACAACAAATTCGAAATAGCAATGTTTTTGAAGCCATTAAGTTAGAGAAAGTCACATCGTTTCAAGATCTAGGGAATGTTCTGGATTTTACTGGAAGAGCTGAAGCTGCCGGTCGAGCACCCATACATGCAGCCTGGAATAAATGGCATCTCCTTGTCTCTATATTGATGCGGCGTGACATCCCATTACCACTACGATCAAGACTTTATAAATCTGTGATACATCCGGTGATGTTATATGGTGTAGAAACATGGCCAATGACAACCAAACTGGAACAACAACTTCGCCAAACCGATATGAAAATGCTCCGATGGATGCAACGAATTAGTCTGAAGGACCACATCAAATCTACCGAAATCCTGCGTTGTGCTGATTTAGATGATATAAAGGACGAATGCCGACAACACCGTCTGAGATGGTTTGGTCATGTCAAACGAAGTGGAAACAGTGCCATAACTTTTCTTTCAGATGTTGAAGTATCTGGCACACGTCCCAAAGGCCGTCCAAAGAAGTCCTGGTCGCAAACAATCGAGCAAGACATGAAAGCTCTAAATTTAAATGAAATGGATACAACTGATCGTCTAATTTGGCGCAAAAAGTTGTTGGCAAAGAGAACAACGTCCTACCTCGGGAAACCGGGTCTCTGGACGCAAAACGAAGATTGATTGATATTAATTTAATTTGAACTTTTTTACTAGATTAGGACTTTATCGGTTTAAGTTTGAACTCTGCTATGATGATTCTGAATTATTCGAGACTACGATCATTTTAACTGTTGGCAAGGGGTTTGCCTAAGCCGTTTCTCTTAAATAAATTAATAAATAAATATTGCAGATAAATTGCTCTTTAGTATTGCTGTCTTCTAATTTTAAGTTTAGGAGATTAAAACGGCTGATTTAAGTTGCCTTTTCGTTGATGCGGTGTGGATGCGGATAATGAGCAGTGCGGCTGCGGGCGGTTGCGAACGTGAACTCTGCGGATGCGGGCGGGCGGCTGCGGTTTGGAAAAATCTTCTCTGTTTGGGGCTCTATTATATATTGCTAACACTTGAAAATAAGCATTTGTAGCAAACTTTACTAGAATTTGTGATCTTTTGCAGTTAATAACCAATTAATATGTAGTTTGCGGCTATTTGTTAACCATTCTGTGTAAAATAAACAGTAATCTATTATATAATATTTATCATTCAGCTAATTAATAACTATGATTGATTAATTTATTGAATTCACAAATGTGGTAGTAGATGTATAATTGATTTGCCGATGCAATTTGGATTAGGTTCGCAGAATTATATACCCGTACTCGAACACTGCTGCATCAGATGAGTTGGATTTGAACCCTGGAGATTACTTGTTTGTGAAAGGATCAGATTTGGAAAGCAGCGATGATGGTTGGTGTGAAGGCGTATCCTGGATGACTGGATGTTCAGGCATGTTTCCAATCATTTACACTGAACGAACAGCTGAAACAGAAACATGGACAATGCACATGTGCGTAAACGTTTATAATAAATATGTGTAATTCATTTATCATCAGCATTTAGTCTCAGATTAAGGGATAAAAACAATTGTTGTTATATATATATATATATATATATATATATATATATATATATATATATATATATATATATATATATATATAAAAAAATTAAATATACTTAAAAATAAGTTTGCCTGATGAACTTGGATATTAATTCTACATTCAACAAATTGAATAATTTCTAGAAAATTCTAAAGACAAACTAACTTTAAATTCAATTTATGCTAACAATTTGCTAGAATTAATTATGGCCTCTTTCCAATCAATCCTCGTTTATAGTTTCCATCCTTTATGGGTCGGACTTTCTTATTCCATTCATCAGCTTTTGTCTCCAATCCGATCTATCCATTGCGTCTGTCTCCTTGAGACAAAATGCCTTCAAGTCCTCCTGTATGGTCTGCGTCCAGGATTTCTTTGGGTGACCTGATGCTCAATAACGGAAATTATTGTATCGTTTTTGCTTCACATGGCCAAACCATCGTAGGCGATGACTATGACGTTCATCCTTCAACGTGCTCAATCCCGATCGGTTCAGGATCTCGGTTGTATTGACATGGTCCCTTAGGTCAACATGCTGCATCCAACGAATCATCTTCATGTCAGTTCGGTGAAGCTGCTGTTCGAGTTTTGTTTCATCGGCCACGTCACTGCACCATACATCAAAACAGATTGCATAGCTGTGTTGTACAGCTCTGAGCGTAGCAGTTGAGGAATGTTACGCCGCATCAGTACCGAGGCAAGGAGATGCCATCTGCCCCACGCCGCACGTGTGCGTCCACGACAAGCGGCATCAGCTGTTCCAGTACAATTCTTCACATTTCCAAAATACGGAAATGAAGTATCAGTTTCGACCCCGGTAATGGTATCATCATCTGGGCCCGTTGTCGCTGGTTGATGCAGACGGGGCATACAAAATCAGTCAATCAGTCACTTTCCTCAGTGAGCCGGTAATTCTCGAGCATCGTCTGTGACACCACTGCTGACATCGTAGGCATTTTATCGAGTTACTTCCAACTCCAGTCCAACACACCGAACATGGCCAATGACCAGAGACCACATGCTCAGCAGTACCACCAATGATCATAGTTTTTGTTTTTTCAAAGTTTACCTTTAGCCCGTGTTCGGCGAGCGGGTTATTCCAGATTTCAAACTTTCTGGCTGCGTCTTGTTTCGAGGCAGCCGTCAGGACGATATCATCTGCATATATCACATTCCATATGTTTTCTGAGCGTATCGGTTCGGTTATTTCTTCCATCACCGTGAAGAGCAGGGGGCTGAGTATGGATCCCTGATGGACGCCGACGTTAATATCAAATTCATTCGTGTTACCGGCTGTTTTGCTGACCAGAGTTTTGTGTTAGAGTACGTTGCCATAACAAGCCGAGCCAGATATTCGTGAACAAGCTGTCTACATAGACTCCACTTGATTGCCTCGTGAGGTACTAAGTCAAAAGCCTTTTCCAAGTCTACAAAGACATGGAACAGACGCTTTTGCATTGCATTGCCATGTATTTTTTCTGTAGTTGACGAATGATATAGATAGCATCAATGATGGATCTCCATGCCATGAAGCCGTACTGGTAACCACCTATTGAAACGCGCGACAACAGTCTTCTCTCAATGACTTTTTCAATAACTTTTAGGGGGTGTTCCAGAAGTGCATCAAAGTCCACCCCAATAGGGTTTGTTTCATTCAATAACCGATCGAAGTAATCCTTCCAGTGATCCTTCACTTCATTCTGCAAGGTTATTATTATGATTTTATTATTCTTTATGCATGTGTGCATATCTTTTTTTAGTGTTTTGGCTTGATTTGCTATTTGGTAGAGTGACCGAATTTGTTTTCATTTATTTCCAGACTACCATACCTTGCATTGATTTTCACGAGCTATCGCAACCTGATATTACGCTTCTGGGTTCTTTTATCGGTATGTCTTTTGATCTTCACCAGTCTTCATTTTCTGCCGTTGTTTGAAAGCTGCTTTTTTACTGGCAATACATTTTGCACAGTCTCGTTTCACCACTAAGTTTCGCAGTTGTCCTGGCGTTTTGGTCCAGATTTCCACATACAACTGTTGCAGCGTTCACTAGGGTGTCCTGAAAAGATTTCCAGGTTATGTCTACCTTCTCCAGACGATCCAGCTGTGCCGATACCAACTCCTCGAATTTCTTCCTGAACGCGGGGTTCTCCAGTTTCTATGTCTTTATTCTAGTAGGCATTCAATCAGTCACAGGGCGTGGTCGTTCCATGATCATATCGGCCACCAGCACTCGGTGTTGAGGGATGCATGCTTCGCCTGGAATGATTTTGGTATACCTGAATAGTCGTCTGTGTTGTCGTCTGACGACAATAAAGTCAGTTTGTGGGCATGACATCCCGCTTTTATATGTAATCAAATGTTCTGCCCTCTTCTTGAAGTAGGTGTTCAACAGAGAGAGTTCATGGCTTTCAGCAAATTCCAGAACCCGTACACTATCTTCGTTTGAGACCCGTAGCCAAAGCCTCCATGGACATCGTGGAACCCATTTGCTTTCTTTCCAACATAGCCGTTGAGGTCGCCACATATCGATAGTATCTCTGATGATGATGTTTTCCTGACGTCATCTGAGAGTGTGTTCCAGAAGTCATTTTTGGCGCCTTCAGATTCACCGATCTGTGGTGCATATGCAGAGAAAACAGTCAGAACCTGTTTTCACATTCTGAGTTTAATCAGCATTAGGCGTGAGCTGATTCGAGTCGCCTCCAATACATTTTGTGCTAGTGATTCTCATACGAAGATTCCCACTCAATTTTGGACTGTCTTTTGGTTATTCCAGAACAAATTGTAACTCTCAATGAGAGACACCATTTGATTTCTATCTTGTTTCCTGCAGAGAACAGATGTCGACCCTGCGCCTTTCTAGCATGTCGACGATCTCCATGGAGCTTCCAGTAAGCGATCCAGTTTTTAAAGTGCCAAGTCTGATATTCCAGTAGGGGGACTCCCGATTTTCTGCAACATACCTCCTCTGTTGCGTACTTTCTGGATATTGTCACCTCTTGACCATTTAAGGTTTTCCAGTGAATAGGGAATCTTTCCTTTTTTTGTGATGACATGGAAGATGTTTTGGTCAAAAAATTTTTATATCTGGAATTGCCCAATTCCTAACGACAACTACCAGTTATAAGCAGTGGGCCTAGCCTTTTTGCTGGAAGCACACAAGGCAGTGCGGTTGCAGTTTATCTCGTGCCCGTGCTGTTGTAAGCAGAGCACTTAGCCTTTGGGTCAAAGGTCCCTGTCCCACAAGGCAGTGGATTTAGAATAGAAGATCATCAGCTGTTAAAGCCGTTGTTCTAGGATCCTCCTACTCGTTCACCGTTGTATTCTTTCTTCTGCTACAGTTGGTTCGCGTCATATTATTTCATATTATTCGATGAAATCCCAGAAGGTCTCCCTGCCCAGGACTTTCCACTATCTACCAATTGGGGACGATCCTTATAGCCGGTGCGCCCCAGCATGAAGGATCTCCTTCCAACATATATATATATATATATATATATATATTTATATATATATATATATATTTATATATATATATCTTTTATTGTTTTATATATATATATATATGTACGGTTGAAGATTACACCCCATTTTGCAGTTAGAAGTTTTTTAAATAAAATTTCAACAACACGAAGCGGTTTTGTTTCAACTTTATTAAACTGTGAAGTTTAATAAAGTTAATGCCATCGTCGGAGCCTAGATTGTAAAACCAAATGAGGAGTTAATAATATAAATTATAAGAAATAGAAAATAGAATATTAGATATTAAAATGAATAAATAAATGAATAACAGCCTATATTTTAAAATTAACTCATTATATTGTTGAAAATAAAATAAACGAATAAATTTAAAAGAAAAATTATGAATAAAATTGTTTGTGTATTATCGTAGTTGAAGTGTAGAAAGTTAGCATAGTGACAAGAAGTAATGCAGAAATTATGGGAAGTCGATAATAATATTTAATGATATGACAATTTATAGAAGAATTATTAGATATTTAACAATTGGATATAATATTATTTAGCAATAAATATGTATAAAGAAATATTAAGGCGTGGCAAATAATGAAGTTAGTGAACAAATTGTTTGAGTTTTATGGCGTAAAGAGACAAACGGATTGTTGTTAATGGTGCGTTCTTGTGTGTTATATTCGTATTTATATTTGGTGTGTAGTTGCTGTCTATTGATGACAGCAATATAACACACAATACGCTTCATGTTGTTGAAATTTTATTTAAAAAACTTCTAACTGCAAAATGGGGTGTAATCTTCAACCGTACATGTTTATCTGAGAACCTCATACCAAATTATATATATATATATTTATATATATATATATATATACATATTGTTTTAAGACTGCCAGAAATGCAATTATTGATGAAAGCCACAGCATGTTCGGCGTTAGTTAACTTTCTGTTTAACTTTTCGATTCTTCTAACAGTTGATCGTAAATCATTCTCATGTTTCTTGAGTTCAAAACCAAAATCTCATTGAGAGAAGATTAACGTCGTGCATCACAATCGGAAATTATCAATTTAGTTTCCTAGCGAGTTAATCAACAATTCATGCAATTCACATCCTTCGGCAACTGCAAGAGAAGTACCTCGCAAAGCATCAACAACTATCACACATTTTTGTAGACCTTGAAAAAGCATTTGATCGAGTTCCCCGTGAAGCAATCAGGTGGAGTCTACGTCGACAACTCATTCCAGAATATCTTGTTCGACTTGTGATGGAAATGTATACGAATACTAAGACTCTTGTCAGCACAACGGTTGGAAACACAGAAGTATTTGACATCGGCGTTGGAGTTCACCAAGGCTCGATTCTCAGTCCACTGTTATTTATAACTGTGATGGAAGAAATCACAAAACCGATACGCACTGGTGACATTTGGAATCTAATATATGCTGATGGTATCGTTTTAACAGTCGCGTCTGAGCAGAATGCAGCACAGATGTTTGAAGATTGGAACACCAGACTCGCCGATCATGAATTCAAAGTCAACATCAGCAAAACCAAAGCAATGAACACTGGTGAACCCATCCAATCCACAGCTACTGGACGATGGCCCTGTTCAGTTTGTAAAGCTTGTGTAGGCAACAATTCAATCAAGTGTCTGCAGTGTAACCAGTGGTGTCACAAACGTTGTTCAAAAATTATTGGTACTTTATCTAAAGTGTTCAATTTTGTTTGTCCTGCTTGCATCAATCCACAACAACAAATTCGAAATAGCAATGTTTTTGAAGCCATTAAGTTAGAGAAAGTCACATCGTTTCAATATCTAGGGGATGTTCTTGATTGTACTGGAAGAGCTGAAGCTGCCGGTCGAGCACCCATACATGCAGCCTGGAATAAATGGCATCTCCTTGTCTCTATATTGATGCGGCGTGACATCCCATTACCACTACGATCAAGACTTTATAAATCTGTGATACATCCGGTGATGTTATATGGTGCAGAAACATGGCCAATGACAACCAAACTGGAACAACAACTTCGCCAAACCGATATGAAAATGCTCTGATGGATGCAACGAATTAGTCTGAAGGAACACATCAAATCTACCGAAATTCTGCGTTGTGCTGGTTTAGATGATATAAAGGACGAATGCCGACAACACCGTCTGAGGTGGTTTGGTCATGTCAAACGAAGTGGAAACAGTGCCATAACTTCTTTTGCAGATGTTGAAGTACCTGGCACACGTCCCAAAGGCCGTCCAAAGAAGTCCTGGTCGCAAACAATTGAGCAAGACATGAACATTCTAAATTTAAATGAAATGGATACAACTGATGGTTTATTTTGGCGCAAAAAGTTGATGGCAAAGAAATCAACTTCCTACCTCGGGAAACCGGGTCTCTGGACGCAAAACGAAGATTGATTGATTCGATTGATATATGTGTGTATATATATATATATATATATATATATATATATATATATATATATAATCCTATTTGCAAACGATTACCTGGTACTATTAAAAAGTTCATATCGTCTGATCTCATGCTGAAATTCGATGTGGATGTTTTCCTGACAAATCTACTGGACAAATTCTCTGGAGCCAGACCAATTAACGATTTGAAAACTATTACCGCTATTTTGAAGCATATCCTCTTGTAAATTGTCAACCTGTGGAGATCATTCAAAATCGGCGTAACGTTATCGAACCACAACTCACCTACCACTAGTTTTGTCGCACGATTCTGGATTGATTGTAGAACTGCCATATGTATATATATATATATATATATATATACTGCCATATATATATATATATATATTTACTGTGTCTCTACTCTACTTTGTTGATTCCTTGTTTGTTCAAAGTGATTAATTAACTATTTAATTAGTTTTACAATCTTTATTTTCGTCCAATATAACACTTGTAAAAGGTTTTTTGTTGCATCATGCTTAAAATAAACAAAAATTTTGGTTTTGAAATCAAGAAACTTAGAAATGATTTACGTTCAAACTGTTAGGAAAATCGAAAAGTTAAACAGGAAGTTAACTAACGCCGAACATGCTGTGAGTTTCATCAATAATTGCACATATATATATATATATATATATATATATATATATATATATATATATATATATATATATATGTATGTATGTATGTAGTAGACCGTTTTATTTTTATTAAGAAAAAAAAATTTTTTTAAACCAGATTTGCATATGGGTTTATTTCGTGTCATTTGATGATATAAAGACAAACACCAAAAATCAATAAAATCAAACATTGTTAAGTGACCTCTCATTGATGAGATTGTTCAGAAAATTCATTTTTTAAAGCATTTTTTTAAATTAATAAAAAATAATTGTTTTTAATTTATTATGAATATTTATATATTGTTTTATTATAAAGTAATGTCTGAATCAGTATAGTTCTTTTTCTAAGGTTCATTCATTAGTTTCCTGTGATGCACAATCACCTGATACATCAACTGGCGCTGATTTTCATCATGAGTAAGTGCTGTATTAAAATCAGATGCCAATTTAACTGCTCGCTCAGCACAATCATTAACTACCCGTACTGCAGTCACTATCTCTTTTGCATTATTGTAATCCTCTAGTTGTGGCCATACTTCTGGATCAAAGCAAAGAAAATTTTAACTGAGTTTCAATGTAGAAAATAAATTTAAAGACTGTTTTGTCACAAAATCTGACAAAATCTTGGGTTTGAAAGAACTTATGTGTATTGGATCTACTTTTCTAACATCATTTTTTTTGCTGGTTTATGTAATGCTTTAATGTCCTGGTTATGACATTAAACTGACCCTCACTGCCTTGTGAGTGATGTTGGATCATCAAAGGCTAGGCCCGCCGCTTATAACTGTGGTTGCGTAAGGAAGGGCGTCCTGCGTAAAAATTAGCCAATAAAATATTTATGATGACATTTGGTTTCTTCATAGGTAACTAAACGGCAACCCCCGATCTCGGGGAAAATGTCGTCTAAACGTGTGTTGTTGTTGTTGTTGTTTATGTAATGCTTTAACCATAAGCCTTTTCTCATCGACATTAACCAAATCAGAAACAAATGTCATTCCAACAAGATCTTCGCTTAGATACCAAAGATTTTTTTTAATTTTTTTCATTGCTTCTTTTCCAACTTTGCAATCAACTTTTTCAAATAATTCCTGAGTTTGAAGAAGACATAAATCATTGTAAGGAGCACTACAGCTGTTTGCTGCACAAAACCATGCCTTTACATATACAGTTACAGTAAAGAGACAAAGTCTCTTTAATGCTTGTAGCTCATGTGCAGTTAACTTCA